ATAGAAAAGCTTCCAAATTCATTCTATGAGGACGGCAGTACCCTGATACCAAGTACGACAGAAAAAGAGAACTAAAGGCCACCATCTCTGATGAACACAGATGTAACAATCCTCAACAAAAGATTAGCAAACTAAATCCAACAATACATTAAAAATATCATTAACCATAATCAAGGGGGATTTATTCCTGGGATACAAGAATGGCTCAATATTTACAAAACAATCATGATACATCATATCAACAAGGGAATGGATAAACATCATATGATCATTTCAATAGATGCAAAAAAAGCATCTGACAAAGCATAACATCCATTCATGATAAAAACCGTCAACAAAGTAGGTTTAGAGGGAACATATGTCAAGATAATACAGGTCCTATATGAAAAAAACTACAAGTAGCATCATATTCAACGGTAAAAACTGAGAGCTTTTGCCCTATGGTCAGGAACAATACAGGGATGTCTACTCTCACCACTTTTGTTAAACATAGTACTGAAAGTCCTAGCCACAGCAATGAGACAACAAAGAGAAAGAAAAAGGCAGCCAAATTGGTAGGGAAGAAGTAAAACTTTTACTATTTACATATGTCTTCATACTATATATAGAAAACCCTAAAGACTGTACCAAAAAACTACTAGAGCTGATAAATACTTTCAGTAACATCAAAGGATACAAAATCAATATACAGAAATCCATTGTATGTCTATACACTAATAACGAAGTAAGAGAAAGAGAGATTAAGAAAACAATCCCATTGAGGCGCCTGGGTGGTTTAGTCAGTCGACTTCCGCTCAGGTCATGATCTTGCATTTTGGGAGTTAGAGCCCTGCTGTCAGTGCAGAGCCTGCTTCGGATCTTCCGTTCCCCTCTCTCTTTGCACCTCCCCCCTGCTCATGCTCTCTCTCTCTCTCTCAAAACTAAATAAACATTTAAAAAAAGAAAGAAAACAATCCTCTTTACATTTGCATCAAAAATAATAAAATATCTAAGAATAAACTTATTAAGGAAGTGAAAGACCTGTAGTCTGAAACCTATAAAATACTGATGAAAGAAAGTGAAGACAACACAAACAAGTGGAAAGATATTCCATGCTCATGGAATGGGAAAACAAATATTCTTAAAATGTCCATTTAACCCAAAGCAATCTATACATTTAATTCAATCCTTATCAAAAATACCAATAACATTTTTCATAGAACTAGAACAAATAATCTTAAACTTTGTATGGAACCACAAAAGACCCTGAATAGCCAAAGTAATCTTCAAAAAGAACAAAACGGGAGGTATCACAATCCCACATTTCAAGTTACACTATAAAACTGTAGTGATCAAAACGGTATGGTACTAGCACAAAAAGAGACACACAGATCAGTGGAGCAGAATAGAGAACCCAGAAATAAACCCACAATTATATGGTCAATTTATCTTTGACAAAGAAGGTAAGATTATGCAATGGGAAAAAGAAAATCTCTTCAACAAATGGTGTTGGGAAAATGAGACAACTCCATGCAAAAGAATGAAACTAGACCACTTTTTTATACTATACACAAAAATAAACTCAACATGGATTAAGGACCTAAACGTGAGACCTGAAACCATAAAAATCCTAAAATAGAGCACAGTAATTTCTCTGACATTGGCTACAGCAACATTTTTCTAGATATGTCTCCTGTGGCAAGAGAAACAAAAGCTAAGAGAAACAAAACTAAACTACTGGGACTACACCAAAATAAAAAGCTTCTGGGCCACAAAGGAAACAATCAATCAAACTCAAAGCCAACTAAATGGGAGGAATTATTTGCCAATGACATATCTGATAAAGAGTTAGTATCCAAAATCTATAAAGAACTTATAAAACTCAATTCCCCCCGAAATGAATAATCCAATTAGCAAATGGACAGAAGACACGAATAGATACTCTTCCAAAAAAGACCAACAGATTCTTAATTATAGAGAACAAACTGATAGCTCCCAGAGCACAGGTGGGTAGGGAGATGGGAAAATAAGTGAAGGGGATTAACACGTATCATGATGAGCACTGAGTAGTATAGAGAGTTGTTGAATAACAAAAATCACTGTATCATACACCTGAAATTAATATAACACTGTATGTTAAGTATACTGGAATTAAAATTTTTAAAAATGTTTCAGAACTAGAAAAAGTAATTGTTGCACATCACTGTGCATGTACCAAATGCTCCTGAGTTTAACTTGAGTAAAGTTATGTGAATTTTACCACAATTCAAATAAAAACATGCACTTATCCTTAGGCCCATTAATTCTACTTACAAATGTCTATCCTAAGGAAATAATCAGAGATATGAATAATGATTTGAATTCTAAATTGTTCATTGCATAGTAAGGTACTTGGACAAAAAGAAATCTGAATAACCTTGATATTAACAATAGGAAAATGGTTAACTAAATTATTATACATGCATGTATACATACTCACATAGATATGGAATATTAACATTATTAAAACCATGTCCTGGAAAAAGAATGTGCTGAGGAAATTCTCACATTGTTAACACAGAATCCAAAAGATTATCATATTGTATACTCTATGTTTTAAAGTGTGTATGTGTATGTGTGTATATGCATGTGCCAGAAAAAAATGATTTAAAGACAAGACTACAGGGGCGCCTGGGTGGCACAGTCGGTTAAGCGT